AAAAAAAAAGCCTCAAATAAGCTATTTAGCCGGTTACCTACAGGTTTGCCGGTCTCCCTTGCTAAACTGAAGTACGTGGCAGTTTTTTTTGTTGCAAGAAGTATGTGGCAGGTTTTAAAAATCGATTTCATTTTTAAACACAATCCACCTCTGACCATATTCCATGCACTTTACTTCATCCATATTCATGGTTGTTGCGTCCTAGTACGAAAAATCAAGCATCTTTAAACTAATATTTCAATGAACCCAACCAATTCCATTGCTTAATTTACTCATTTTCTCTCTTTTACGGGTTCAATATTTCACAATTGATAGTGGAGTTAGAATTTGGCTTTTGTGAAAAAAGCATATAAACATAAGAGTTTATACATACGGAGTATGTGTGTGTGTGGATAAAAAATCGGGACAGAAGATTTTTGTTGGCAGAGGAGCTAGGATTGTGAGGTTTTTTTGGGAGCCAGGTAGAGCTTTTGGAACCATGAATTTTCGGCAGGAGTTTCTATTTTCCGGTGGGATTTACTCCCAATCTCTTCACCTGTGATTTTCTAGACATGGCGACGACTCTTAATGACCTATGGATCCACAACTGCAGGGGTAGATTCAGATGTGTGGGTTTCTTGAAGGCAAATTCGATTGAGATCTTCAAAAGCATGGTGAGGTGCGTGGGACGAGAAACAATGGCGTGAACAAAAGTGAGATGAGAGAATGGGCATCGAAAGAATGCTTAATTTTTCATTAAAATAATGAAAGTGCGAGATGGAATAAAAAAATGAAAAAGTGACATATGGACTGCCACATCAACAGGTGACCGCAAAACCTATGGGTGACTGCCTAAATTTCTTGAATTGGGTGTTTTTTACAAGTTAAAGGGTTTGATCGAGTGATATTGAAGTATGAGGGCTTAATTGCCATTTTGCATATAGTACGAGGGTATATTTGATAGTTTAAACTCATATTTATGGAATTTTAAACATTGAGTTCTATTTTTGGAAAATGAGCATGTTTTGTGGCGTCGGGTTTTCGGCCAAAATAAAAAATAGATAGTTTGACTTTCATGATCTTCAATATAGGTCTTTAACAACCAAAATTATTATAATTACAATTATATACACCATATTTATCATTTTACAACCATAGAAAAATAATACTCCCTCCTTCCAAAAAAGATTGACCAATTTGACTTTTATTGGTCAATGATGTTAAAGTTTAGACACTGCTTTTAGGTATTATTATATTTTTGTGTAATTTATAAATTTTATATTCTTAGAAAACACTTTGTAAAAAAGAATATGCTCATATAATTTTCATATTTTAAATAATTTTGTATTAAAAAATATAATTGGTCAAACTTGATCACCATTGACCAAATAAAGTCAATTTGACCTAACTTCTTGGGATGAAGGGAGTAATTATATCTATAATAGCTATTCAAATTAAAAGAGAAGTGACCGCACATGAAAAAGAAGAAGACAAAAGCAAAGGAAAAAATGAAAACATTAATGAAACAAATTAAACACTAAAACCCAACCCATTTCTAGCAGAAAAGCCCCCCCCCCCCCCCCCCCCCCCCATATGTGAAAAAGTTGAATATTTCATCAGATGTCTATTGGTGGTTGAGTGACTATATTTGAAACTCTGTTTTCTCTCTCACAAACTTTTAGTATCCTTTTCACTCATTTGGACAATTCGTGTGAAACGCGGGTGTGACGACATCCCTATAAGTGTCATTACATTTTGAAATTTTGTGAATATTTCTTGTTCAATCTGTTGATTTCATTTGTGTTAGGAATAGGTATCGCCGTAGGAATTTTGGACCCCTGAAGTCGATTCTCGGTCTCAGCTTGCGCCACATAACACAAAAGGAGCAACACTTCTCCAAAACTTTCTACACTACAAAATTGTCACTTCATATAGAGATAATGATTTTTATCAACGTGAATGATGCTTATTTGTTAAGAAAATTTTCACAAAGGAAATATCTCCTATCCACGGAATGAGTTCGAAAGTTACAATATATCAGAAAATTCCAACATATTGTTGGTTTATTTCAACATAATATGCACAATCACACACCACACATATTACTCAAATTATTAAGATGAATTAGATTCAAATAGACGTGTTAGGTAGCAAAGGTGAAACCATGAAGGCAATTGGTGTGATAAGGTGTAGTGAGTTGGTAGGTAGAATATTATCATTATTAATCGAAATAGTCCATTTGGATCACTAACATATTGACAAATTGATAAAAAGAATATTATTGAAAATAATACACTTTTAAGGATTATAAAATAAAGAAATGACGAAAAGAAATGGTGAAAAACTCATTACAAAATATAGGTTATTTACAAAAATGTGACGCCTTAAGTGCAGTAATTATACTTGTAATTTTGGTTATTAATGACATTGCATATAAGATGAAGGGAAACCGGTTGATTTGTTTTTTGATGGGGAAAATGAAGTGTTGAGTGATGATGAAGCAGAAAAGTTAGTGATGATAAATACTTTGTTGCTAAGAATATGATAAAAGAATGTAAAAATAAGTTATTTAAAATTGCAAAGCAACTTCAAAAAGAGGCAGAACAGGGTATTCTCCGAGGGCAAAAAATGCAGAAGTACTACATGTGATAGAGAGAATGAGATTTTAAGTGAGTATGAGGACAATGAACACGAGATACACATTCCACCAGACAGTGAATATGAGTTCATAGTACGACGAAGAGAAAAAGTAGTGCTCTTTTGATTCCAAATACGGACTTTGCAAAGTTTCAGTTGAAGTTGGGGCAAAGATTTATTACTAGAGGTGATTTTAAGAACGTTGTAGCCAAGTATGCAATCTTACAAGGTCAAAATTTGACATTTCCCATGAGTAACAAAAACAGACTACAGAGACAGGGGGTAAGATGTGTAAATGAGTGTCTATTTAGATTGTATTGCTCTTGGGATTCAAGAAGCTAGGGCAACATTTGTGGTGAAGTCAGCTTTAGGGAAGCACAAAATGTCAACGAAATATGAAAAAACGAATCAAGTGTCCATGAGTGGAAAGGTAGTTTCTTGATGTATTTAGAGCGACCCCACTGGCCATCCAAAGAGATCACAGAGACAGTTAAGAAAGCATACAAGCTAAGGTAGTAATGACAACGGATTTTTCTATAAAGTGAAGTTATATTCTCATAAACTGCTCCATGAGTCTACGCATGAGCACTATAAAAAAACTTGAGAGATATTTGGAGGCGTTAAAGTTATCGAGCCCTAGGACTGAAATACATTTGGTGACTATGGGAAGCAACAACTTTCTACATCGATTTTCACAGGCTGTTCATTTGCTTTGAGGGGCTAATAAAATATGATAGAAGGATCAGTGGAGGAAGATCATATGTGTTGATGTCTGTTTTTTAAAAACTTTCCTGGGAGGACAATTATTATGTGCAATCGGGAGAGATGGTAATGAACAAATGTACCCAATTGCTTGGGCAATTGTAGAAAGTGAAAATAATCAATCTTAGAAATGGTTTGTCTTGCTTCTGAAAATCTGCCTCAGCTTAGGAGAAGGAGCAAACATAACTATACTATCAGATGAGCATCAGGTACAAGTATAATAATGTCTTATTTGGAACTACTTTTTATTTGATCTAACAAAATGTTATTATTTTACAGGCCATTTTAAATGCAGTTTCCAAAGTTCTTCTGCTAGCTGAGCATAGGCACCTTGTGAAACATATTTTTGCTCTATGACATAAAAATAATAGAAGGAATGAGTTTATACTGAAGTTTTGGAAGATAGCTAAACCCTATAACATTGGCTCATTATACTAATCCATTTAAGGAATTGGTTACACTAAATCTCGAGGCTGCCAATGCACTTAACAATGGCAACCCGAGGTGATTTTGTAGAACATATATGAATACTATTATGAGATGTGATGTCGTTGCCAACAATATGACACAAACCTTTAACGGGTACATCTTAAACACGAGGACCAAGCACCACATTTATATGTCGGAGGATATAAGAGTACCAGCCAAGTTAGAAGTATAGACTTCTAAGGCTTGTTAATGTGATATTCTACCATCAAGTTTTCACACATCCCAAGTTAATATGGACTTTGGACAATCTCAATGTTGATCTTCAAATCAGGACATTCACATGTAAAAGGCGAGATTTGTCATGTATATCGTGTTATCATGCCTAGCATATAGAATGATGTTATAAGGGGGAGCTGTATTTGAGGACATATATAGGCTCCATCTCCTTGTGAATGTGAGAGGCATTAATTGAGAATAAACTATACCTTATATCCCCCAATTAAAATTGGGCTTCACAAAAAAAGACCCATTTGAAGTCCCCAAAAATCTGATAAGTTGACCAAGCATGTAGCACCGTCCCCAGATGTATTTACTTTTAAGTGAATATTGTATTTTAACCTTATGGGATAGTTGTCGAATTTACGAGGTTATGAATTTTTATTAATTATTTTGCGTAAATAGTAAATTCGCACGTGGGGCCCGCACCGGGAGCGGGGGCCGCCCAATATTCCCGGGACCACATAAATTATCCATCTTGGTCTAGATAATATTTATATGGTGGAGGATAACTCATTTGAGCCATGGAAAGGTCCAGAATTGACCGATTGGTCAAAAGAGGCCCAAATACCGGTATTGGCGATTTAACCGATAAAAGCCCGAAATTTAATTCCGGGGACTTATAAATTAGAGTTGGGGTATGGATATTCATCATAAGAGTCATAATGATGGAGAACACATAATATATTTTATTTGACCCGATAAAATAAAATATATTTAAAACAGTCCGAAAAATACAACTTTTGGGACCGATTATACACTTCTGGACAAAAAGGGTTGACCTCCCACATGGGTGGGGGCCAACCCACGAATTTGGCCACCCAACTATGATGCTTGGTCGGCTGGTGTGATAGGAGGACATAGGTGAGGTGTGTGAAGTGAAATGAGAAGCATCAAACAAATGGGGTGGGGTCTCATCCTTACTCATTGATCAATGAGACAAAAGACAATCCCAAACCCCCTCTCTTCCCTCATTTTCGGCCAGCATCCACCCAGAAAGAGCAAGGAATCCTCTCAAACCTATTCTCCATTGTTGAAGAAGACTCCACAAGAAAGAATCTCAAGAAAGGGAATTAAAGTGCTAAAAGTGTGAAAGGATTAAGGTAATGACCTTATCATAACTTTTTCTTAATTTTTCTCCTACCATATGAGATGTATATCATATGAAGAACCATTAGGATTGTTCTACATGATAAGAATGTGGAATAATGGGTTGGAAGGTGGCTTTAAGTCCAAAAACGGACTTAGGAGCCAAACCGACAAGTTCACCGGAAAATAACCTTTTGGAGGTTATTTGTATTGATAAAGGTTTTATGATGTTAAAACCTTGTTAGGAACTTGATTAAAGTATTTTTGAGCTTCGCCGGAGTTTTGCCGGAGTTGGTCAAAGTTCACCGGAAATTAGTCAAAGTTCGACCGGGAAGCGTAGAACGCACGTGAGCTCACTTAAGGTGAGGATGACCGACTATATTGCTTATAATTATTGGGTTAATTTCATGAGATTACCTAAATGAAATATATGTGTTTGGCATGATTTATTGATAATAAAAAAATGCCTAAATGAGATTATTATTGTTTATAAGCAAAAATGCATAATATACAAATTTATGACTAAATTGTGTATGATTATGTGTTGTGAATACAATGGCCCAATTGATATATAAATTACAAATTATATGGTGATAAATATACTTTTACCTCATGGAAGGAATAAAAGTGATATTTTGATATTGAGTCAAGTTATACTTGAATGTAAAATTAAATTGAGATATACGAATTTTTATGAATATGCATTGGTTTATTGAGATTAAAGGACTAGTATAGAAAGACTACTCGGGGATGTTAGTTCAATAGTGCTGGGGGGTTAATCCCAAGATATCGAAGCTAAGTAAATGTAAAGGATGATTAAGGTGGACTTTATGAAGTCAAGTTACATTAGGAGTAGGCCTCAAGGGTTACTCAAAATGCATGGAGCCTAGACTAAGAAGTGGTTTAGGAATTAAATGACGTGACTATGAGCCGAGCTCTAGCACGTGGTAGTATGACTATGAGCCGAGCTCTAGCAAAAATGCAGGTATGACTATGAGTCGAGCTCTAGCAAACGTAGTGTGACTATGAGCCGAGCTCTAGCACAAATTAGTATGACTATGAGCCGAGCTCTAGCAAATGTAGTGTGACTATGAGCCGAGCTCTAGCACAATTTAGCATGACTATGAGCCGAGCTCTAGCATGAAGGAACGTGAGTTAATTATAAATGAATAACATCCTAGATTGAGGGTCTTGGAAATTGAAACTTTGATTATACTTAGTATAGTTGTCATTGTACTTGTCAAATGCTTCCAAGTACTGACCTCCCCTTCACGGGGGAGGCCACCTCACAGTTTCAGGTAGGGAGTAAAGCCTGCTGCCATCACCGTTGCTCGGGTAGGATCCAAGAAGAGGAGACGTGGTTCGTGCCTCTTCAGACTCCATTTTTCAAACACTTTAATTAATGCTCATGGATAATGTTTTTCTATTGAATATTTAATAGGGGCTTGTATGCCCATGTTTGCCAAAGTGTGGCATGAACACTTGTACCCAATGTTTCCGCTGTTTGAATGAATATTTTACATTATGTTTGTTTATGGATGTACTATGTGTGAATGGTATTCAAGACGCCTAGTATAGTATGTGTTGAGTTTAATCCAACACGATATAGTAAATATATGTATGAACACTCAGTTTTTACGTGGAAACCCGAAAGGGAGAAAACCACGGGACTTTTTAGGCTAATGTCCAAGCCCTCTCTTTCTCATTAGGACTCTCCTCACCATTACATAGTACATTTTGAACTCCCATCAATGGAGTATTTGAGCTATTCTAAAAAAAGAAGGAAGAAAGGAAGGGATCCATAATATGGAGGGAAACTCCCATATTTATAGAGAATAGGGGAAGGGGATGCTCTCCACCCTAATGGGCCGCATGGGCCGGAGTGGGCCCAAATGGCTAAAGTGGGCCAGATGGGCCGAAGTGGGCCTAACTGCTCGGGCTCCGTACTGAGTAATGTCTTGGACTCCTGAACAGTAATAGGCCGGGATAATATATCCCAACACAAGTCCCCTAGTTTCTTGAGTAGTGAGCTCGCGAATCTGCTCGAGAAAATATACTCTGCCTGCGCTCTTCCTCTGTCTTGCTGGAAACTGTGTCTTCACATAATCATAATATATGAGTGAGTGTCTGCACTCCTGAACGTAATCTGCCGGTGAGGCACCCCCTTCTCAACAGGGTCGGGCGAAGGGTGCTCCTCCACGGGAACACTCCCCCTGAATGCGTCAGGCGGGAGTAAGGACTCTGACTCGAGCTTTCCAATCGGAGAAGCTTAGAGGTCCATGCATCTATAAACCGACGTCGCGGTACTGTCAAAACACGATGCTCATGTGTATGTATGAATGTATGAGGTATGATGCATGAATGCATGAATGCATGTAATGTATGGGTGCAATGTATGGGAGAAGGAATGTGAGATGTGATGGAAAGCGGTGGCTCTCATCGATTACCCGGGCATGTCAGCGCCAAGAAGCAGACGCGCTGCATAAGACGGGTCCCCCATCCGAGATGGCATGGGCGGAGCCGAAGATGGACTAGACAAGATGCCGCCGAAGGGGCCACTCATGCTGCATAAGACGGATCCCCCATTCGAGATGGCATGGGCGGAGCCGGAGGTGGACTAGACATGATGCCGCCGAGGGGCCAATCGAGCTGTATAAGAGATGTTCGTCGCCATCCTGGATGGGATGGGCGAGCCGAACACGAGCCAGACACGATGGCGCTGGGGCGCTGATCGTGCTGCATATGAGACGTTCGTCGCCATCCCGGAGGGGAGGCGTGATCCGAACGTGAAAGAGACACGATGGCGCTGAGGGGCCGATCGTGCTGCATAAGACGGTCGTCGCCATCCTGAAGGGAATGTGCGAGCCGAATCGTGAAGCCAGGTACGATGGCGCTGAGGGGCCGATCGCACTGCATAAGACGTTCGTCGCCATCCTGGAAGAGATGCGCGATCCGAACATGAAAGAGACACGATGGCGCTGAGAGGCCGATCGTGCTGCATAAGACGGTCGTCGCCATCCTGGAGGGAATGTGCGAGCCGAACCGTGAAGCCAGGTACGATGGCGCTGAGGGGCCGATCGCACTGCATAAGACGTTCGTCGCCATCCTGGAAAGATGCGCGATCCGAACGTGAAAGAGACACGATGGCGCTGAGAGGCCGATCGTGCTGCATAAGACGGTCGTCTCCATCCTGGAGGGAATGTGCGAGCCGAACCGTGAATCAGGACACGATGGCGCTGAGGGGCCGATCGTGATGCATAAGACGTTCGTCGCCACCCTGGAAAGATGCGCGATCCGAACGTGAAAGAGACACGATGGCGCTGAGAGGCCGATCGTGCTGCATAAGACGGTCGTCTCCATCCTGGAGGGAATGTGCGAGCCGAACCGTGAATCAGGACACGATGGCGCTGAGGGGCCGATCGTGATGCATAAGACGTTCGTCGCCACCCTGGAAGGGATGGACGAGCTGAACGTGAGTTGGGTACGATGGCGCTGAGGGGCCGATCGTACTGCATAAGACGGTCGTCGCCATCCTGGAGGGAATGGGCGATCCGAACCGTGAATCTGGACACGATGGCGCTGAGGGGCCGATCGTGATGCATAAGACGTTCGTCGCCACCGTGGAAGGGATGGACGATCCGAACGTGAGCTGGGTACGATGGCGCTGAGGGGCCGATCGTACTGCATAAGACGGTCGTCGCCATCCTGGAGGGAATGGGCGATCCGAACCGTGAATCAGGACACGATGGCGCTGAGGGGCCGATCGTGATGCATAAGACGGTCGTCGCCATCCTGGAGGGAATGGGCGATTCGAACCGTGAATCAGGACACGATGGCGCTGAGGGGCCGATCGTGATGCATAAGACGTTCGTCGCCACCCTGGAAGGGATGGACGAGCCGAACATGAGCTGGGTACGATGGCGCTGAGGGGCCGATCGTACTGCATAAGACGGTCGTCGCCATCCTGGAGGGAATGGGCGATCCGAACCGTGAATCTGGACACGATGGCGCTGAGGGGCCGATCGTGATGCATAAGACGTTCGTCGCCACCCTGGAAGGGATGGACGATCCGAACGTGAGCTGGGTACGATGGCGCTGAGGGGCCGATCGTACTGCATAAGACGGTCGTCGCCATCCTGGAGGGAATGGGCGATCCGAACCGTGAATCAGGACACGATGGCACTGAGGGGCCGATCGTGATGCATAAGACGGTCGTTGCCATCCTGGAGGGAATGGGCGATCCGAACCGTGAATCAGGACACGATGGCGCTGAGGGGCCGATCGTGATGCATAAGACGTTCGTCGCCACCCTGGAAGGGATGGACGATCCGAACGTGAGCTGGGTACGATGGCGCTGAGGGGCCGATCGTACTGCATAAGACGGTCGTCGCCATCCTGGAGGGAATGGGCGATCCGAACCGTGAATCAGGACACGATGGCGCTGAGGGGCCGATCGTGATGCATAAGACGGTCGTCGCCATCCTGGAGGGATGGACGATCCGAACCGTGAATCAGGACACGATGGCGCTGAGGGGCCGATCGTGATGCAGAAAAATAGTGATGATCATCTCATGGCCCTCGGCCTCTCGGTGATGTGTCAAGTCTCTCTCCTGATTGGCTGTGGGAAGCCGATCGTCTGCCAGGACTCCATCCGGGAAGGAATGGTGAGCCTGAAATAAATCTGGGCGATGTCCCTCTTGTCTGATCTGGGAAGCTGGTCTTCGTTCGTCTACCGTATCCGTGGTCCTATGTACGGACCGCTAAGCGGTGTACACTCGGCACACAACAGACTCCGATAAAGAACTGGTCCCTCCTGTCTGATCTGGGGAGCTAATCTTCGTTCGTCTACCGTATCTGTGGTCCTATGTACGGACCGCTAAGCGGTGTACACTCGGCACACAACAGACTCCGATAAAGAACTGGTTCTTCGTGTCTGATCCATGGAGCTGGTTTTCGTTCGTCTACCGTATCTGTGGTCTTATGTATGGACCGCTAAGCGGTGTACACTCGGCACACAATCAGACTCCGGTAAAGAATTGGTTCTTCGTGTCTGATCCATGGAGCTGGTTTTCGTTCGTCTACCGTATCTGTGGTCCTATGTATGGACCGCTAAGCGGTGTACACTCGGCACACAACCAGACTCCGGTAAAGAACTCGGTCTTCGTTCTTCCCAAGTCTCGTGAGTACTGGTCTCCTGGTTTCGCAGGAGACGTTCGTCATCCCAACTATGAGAAGAAACAGGTTTATCCACGTCGGGATTCCCTATTCTTCGTTCGTCCCTGTCGTGGTCCTACTAATCTTCTTACTTCGAAGAAGACGTTCGGTCATCCAACGATCGCAAGGAGGAACAGGTTTATCCACGTCGGGATTCCCTATTCTTCGTTCGTCCCTGTCGTGGTCCTACTAATCTTCTTACTTCGAAGAAGACGTTCGGTCATCCAACGATCGCAAGGAGGTCACTGGTTTATCCACGTCGGGATTCCCTGCTTCGTCGTCCCATGCTCGTGGCCCTACTAGCCTTCTGCTTTGGCAGAAGGTGTTCATCGATCCACGGGAAATGGGAGGAACTGGTTTATCCTGCCGAGGTTCCCTTTGGTACGTCTAGCCTCCCCCACGTTCTACTAACCTCCGCGTCGGGAGACGTTCGTCATACGCGGCGAAGGAAGATCAGGCATACCTCGTCAAGACTCCCTCTCTCATAGGAGCTTCTCTCTCCCCTTCTCCCCATCTTTTTTTTTTTTTTTTTTTTGAGGGAGGAAAATACGTTCGTCGGTTTCCAAGAATGACCACAAGTGATGTCACACGTAATGGTGGTGGGATACCAAAATGAAGCGGATGACGAGGCGATGGAAATGCTGGTCGTCATGCGAAGGCGATGGTCACCCTCCTGGAGGGGAGGGGTGAGCCCGATCGCTAACTCAAGAAGGTCGGCATCGGGAGCCGATATATAATGATCATAATGTCGCTGAGTAGCCGGTCCTGATAAGGAGATGACAATAGTGTCCGATCAAGCCGATATATCCAAGCAACGGCTCTCATCCACGCAGCGCGGGGATGAAACCGGTCTTCAAAAGATAAATATGTCGTGCCGGGTGGCCGAACATAACATGATAGTGTCGGCAGTAAGAGGCCGACCTGAAAGAATCAAGAAATGGTCCTCGTCCGCGAGGGGCAGGGACAAGGCCGGTCTTCAAAAGATAAACACGCCGTGTCGGGAGGCCAGTCGTGATATAATAACATCGACAATGAGAGGCCAATCTGAGAAAACAAGCAACGGTCCTCATTCGTGCAGTGCGGGGACGAGGCCGGTCTTCAAATAAGATAAACACGCCGTGCCAAGAGGCCGGTCGTGATATAATGATGTCGGCAATGAGAGGCCGATATGAGAAAACAAGCAACGGTCCTCATCCGTGCAGTGCGGGGACGAGGCCGGTCTTCAAATAAGATAAACACGCCGTGCCAAGAGGCCGGTCGTGATATAATGATGTCGGCAATGAGAGGCCGATATGAGAAAACAAGCAACGGTCCTCATCCGTGCAGTGCGGGGACGAGGCCGGTCTTCAAATAAGATAAACACGCCGTGCCAAGAGGCCGGTCGTGATATAATGATGTCGGCAATGAGAGGCCGATCAAGTGTATCCGTGCAACGGCTCTCATCCGCGCAGCGCGGGGATGATACCGGTCTTCAGGTGATAAACACGCCGTACCGTGAGGTCGGTCGTGATGTAAGGATGGTCCCACGACCCTCGGCCGTAGTGGTCTCCTCTAGGCCACCGGCTCCTGGTGTGGAGATGCTCGTATCACGGCTCTCAGCCGTGATGGTTTCCTCTTGGCCCTCGACCTCTGGATGATGGATGATCGTCTCACGGTTCTTCGCCGTGGCAGTTCCCTCTAGACCCTCGGCCTCTAGGTGTTCTTCCTAGGCCATCGGTCTCTGGGGTGGAGATGCTCGTCCCACGGTTCTCAACCGTGGTGGTCTCCTCTAGGCCCTCGGCCTCTAGGTGGAGATGCTCGTCTCACGGTCCTCAGCCATGATGGTCTCCTCTTTAGCCGACCCTGCACGTCTTCAAGACTCGGGCCGAGCGTCTTCTAATCATTTCGCTCAAGCGCGTCGAGTGACTTCAGCTACGCAATAAGCATGATAACGGGCCGCACGGCCCGACAATAAATATGCACACATAATCATCTGCATGGCCCTCTCTCTAACACCCACGATTACCGTTGTTTGTCCCTTTATCAACAATCAAACTAATGGGATATGGATGGAGTAGAGAAGATACAACTTCTGTTCAATACCAAATAAAGATTTCGAATTACAGCTCTGGGTATCGAGAAGTGAAGTATCGGCTCTCTCTCTAGACTACAATGATATGCGCGCTGAATAATCTGTAAAAGCCTCTTTCGCACATTCCCTTAAAGGCAATATTTATATGCCTAGGGAATGTGTGATGTGACCTAAGCATGATTGGGCTCTTTTATTGATTGGGCCCAATAGCACACTTTACACACTTCCTAAGAAAGCTAGTCTAATAATAGCTGAAATATCTAGACAAAATAGCTACACAAATGCAAAGATATTTATCAGGATTGGACACCAGAAAAAGTCCTAACAACCGGCCTATGGGTCATCGTGACCCTCGGCCCGGCTCATCGTGCGGGGTTAATGGACGTAGCAGCTCGCGGCGGGGCCAATTAGCAGCCCGCCGGACGTCACATAGAAATATTCATCGGTCTGTGAGTTTTCAAACTCAGACCCAAGTTGGTCGCACCGCCCTCGGAAACACGAGGCCGAGCGCTTTGGTGCCCTCGGGGCCCCACAGGCCGCGTCTGGCAAGAGTCACCTCTCGCCTAATGGCGTAGATGATACTGGGGTACGGTCGTCGATCGGGCACGTAGTGCCGTGTGGACTAATGTGCAACCCTCCAATTAAAATGCGTCGTCGGGGCTTCGCCCTTTTGGAGACGCTCAGATCGCTTAATCAAGCGGATCGAGAGTGGGCCAACGGGCCCACAAGAAATTAAATACTCAATAAAATGTTGGCTGAACCAACCATCACTAGAGCTTCGCTCCACATTATTTAATTCGGGACATTTTATCCCTAATAAATATAGTGATATAACAGGTAATAGCAATGATGTTATCCTATCAAAGGCCATTCAGGTATGCTCCGCTCGCTAATTAAAGCCGATCAAGAGCGGGCCGACGGGCCCACAATAACAGCAATTAATTAAAAATGACGGTGAAAACTAGTTATCACTAGAGCGTCGCGCGACATTATTTAATTTCGGGATATTTTATCCCTACTAAATAATGGTGATAAAAACTAGCAATATTTCTTATTTTTAATATCTTTACGGAGTATCAAAAAAGTGCAAGAACGGGTACTTAGCTTCAAAATAGACGTTCGGCCAAGAAGCTCGTGGAGTCAGATCCGCTCCCCTTTTAAATTTGACTTAGTCAACTTAAGGGACCAGCTGGCCCCCACATCTTTGACCGAGTGGCAAGGCTTCGGCATAGGCTTGCTGGAATTCTTCAATTTTGACTTTGTCAAAATTCTCCCAGAAGTTTTGGCCCCATTTTCTTTGGCTCTAACCTTGGAGACGTGGTCTGCTCCCAGTCAAGTAAAGAGCACCTTTTCAGAGAGGAAGACGAGAAACACCCATCCCCAACCGAAAGCAAACGGCACCTGCTGATTAGTGACGGCGGTGATGTCTGCTGCAGCGGAGTGAGGGCGGCCAGGGAAGCTCGTTTCCGGCGGAAGCTCGACCAGATTACCGAACATACTTCTCGTGAGCTTGAAAACACCATTAATGGCGGGAATCCAGGGGGTTCCGGTCTGTAGTGAGGTGGACAAGACAGCCACGAACGGTGACCGGCGACCCGACAAGATCTGGACAGGTTCCCGATTCGGACCTCGCAGACTCCGGCCATGGCTTCTACACTTCCCTCTTTTGCTGAAACCAGTTCATCTGGCATCAATTTTTTTTGTAGAAAACCCAAGAACAGTAGAACACATGAATCTTTTTGGACAGATTCCCACAGACGGCGCCAGTGTTGAGTTTAATCCAACACGATATAGTAAATATATGTATGAACACTCAGTTTTTACGTGGAAACCCGAAAGGGAGAAAACCACGGGACTTTTTAGGCTAATGTCCAAGCCCTCTCTTTCTCATTAGGACTCTCCTCACCATTACATAGTACATTTTGAACTCCCATCAATGGAGTATTTGAGCTATTCTAAAAAAAGAAGGAAGAAAGGAAGGGATCCATAATATGGAGGGAAACTCCCATATTTATAGAGAATAGGGGAAGGGGATGCTCTCCACCCTAATGGGCCGCATGGGCCGGAGTGGGCCCAAATGGATAAAGTGGGCCGGATGGGCCGAAGTGGGCCTAACTGCTCGGGCTCCGTACTGAGTAATGTCTTGGACTCCTGAACAGTAATAGGCCGGGATAATATATCCCAACAGTATGGATGAGTTGGACTGCGGTTGACTATTCGTACTGTACGGCGGGTTGTTGACGTGTCCGGTAGGTCTGGGGCGTGACAAAGCATGGTATGAAAATGACATGTAACACTCGTCAGACTTATGGTCAATAAGCAAATGTGTCTAAATAGAGACAATATTGCCACTGTAGTTCAGGAATCTACTCCCAGAAAACCTAGGGGTCAGCCAAGAAATAATGGAAAACCTCCCCACAATGCTACACCAACCCCAACAAGTGAACCACATAGCCATCATTCTGTCATGGCTCAACCCAACATGATCGACAAGGGTGGGAGAGTCATTAGAATAGGAAGGGGATCAATAGGAGGGAGATGATCTAGAGGAAGAGGATACTGAGCTAAAGGTGGAAGAAGTAGTGGGGTGATAGAAAAAAGGTAATCGTTATTTTAATACCTTGAGTGTGTATTTGGTGGGGTTATGTTGCTACTGCATGATGGCGCCACATATAGAAATGTAATTCTATTTGCACCCCAATACGGAGTAGTTGACTAAATGGTGACATAATGTCATTGACAAGCGATTTTTTTATTGATACAGGTTCTAGGTCAGTCAGGAGGAGCAAGACTAGTGACACAAAGCAGAGACTCTATGGTGATATCTTCTCAAATCAACTAAAATCAACTTTAACTTTGGGAAGTTTGTAATTCTGGGCATGGATAAAATCAACTAAAATACAACTTTAACTTTTGGAAGTTTGCAGTTCTGGGAATGAATGAAAAGATGGTCATATGTAGATCTATGTAATACAACATTTATAGATCACTCTAGTGACCAGATCTTATTTGTTTAATATGTACTTAGTTATGATTTTGATGTCTGTTATGACATGTATTTTGGAATGAAATGTAGTTCTTACGGTTCATCTATGCATGGCGTGCTATAGTATTATGAATATTTGTTGTCTCTATAAAAGATCTGTGCATCATTTTCATTACAACTTTTTTGACCCATCAAGCTCAATGCATTAGCTCAATGTTTTTGATAAATCAAATACGGAGTAATACTTACTTGAAGAAAAAGAATACAATGGAAGATATAAAAATGAAATAGTTAGATAAAGCGAATACTTCTTCTCATTCCCAAAAAACTTCAAATTTCACTACCTAACTGACAAACTTTATTTTTCATATCATGTAAATCCTCTTTCAAATTTTTATTTTTCAAATACAACTTTTTGATCTTTTCTTCCATCATCAACTTTGATTGCTTGTTTCAGATGAGCACCGACACCTTCAATTTCAGGTGATGAATGTGCATCAAAACCATTTTCTGACTTGAGAAAACCATAATTTTCATCCTCATGCAAAAAAAAAACGAAAATTTCTCTCATCAAGGATTTCATTTTTAGTCAAAACATTTACAAAATCTGACTCAATCAAATAATACATAACTCCAACTTAGTATGAACCTTAAGTTTACCTTCTATGTAACAACATCAATGGAAATTGATAACTAACACTTACGGGCAATAAAGAGCAGCCATGAAACCTCATTCCAACATTTATCCCATTTTTTATCAATCTCAAAGCAGAAATGATGTTGTGATGACAATTCAACTTTGATTTTGCTCCTTCGCTTAATTTCATCAAAGAGGGCCCATAACCATCTAAATTTATTCTTTGTACAAGCATCAATGACACGTGCAGAGAATAAATATATACGCGGAAAAAGGAAGACAAGTGTGAGGATAAGCGTTAAGAAGGAAGACAAGTAAACCGAACGAATTGGTGCATCGAAGGAGACACAGAGAGAAACCATAAAGGCTGAAGGAAGGAGGAGGAATTATGCACGGATATAAAGGTATTAATTATAAATTTTAAAACGGATACATACTGGTCATTGTAAACTTAAAAATAAACCTCGCATAACTGGTAAATAAAATCAATGGATTGAAGGAGAATGAGTCAAGACGTTCGCGAGCCGCATGTGGATCGCTCATAAAAAAACTCGACTCGAGTTCAGCATATTTCAGCTCAACTCAAGTTCGACTCGACTCGAATACTTAACAAGCTCGAGCCAAGCCTAATTATTTTAGGCTTGTGGCTCGCGAGCCACGGTATGTGTGTGTATAGATATATTATGTATAATAATTATATATATAATATTTGTGGAATATTTATTCTAATTTAGCATTACTCTATTTATAATATTTATGATATTATAATAGTAATAATTAAATAAAATATTATTTATTATTATAACCATATAATAATCAAGGTTAAATGTAATAATTTAATCTATAATCATACATATTTATTTTTTCATTAGCTCATACAAATCAAGGTTAAGAACAGTTTGAGATCCAGGGCAGTCTAATGAATTTGGAGGCCCCGGTTCCAAATGTAAAATTGGGGCCCCACTATAATATAAAATATTAAAAAAAACTTAACTCAAATACTTATACTTAAATCAATTGAATACTTATTTAATAATGTAATAATTATTTATCTAAAACTTACCTAACTTTGATTTAAAGCAAGACACCTCATTATTCAAGCAATTTGAGTAAATGAGAACTAAAGGACCAACGGAAAATGATAGATCTATATTTTTCTTCCTTACTAATTGTATTTTACTGATTATTATAATATATTAATATATAATACTAATAATTGTTTAAAATTTGGGGCCCCATAAATCTGGGGGCCCTGTTCCAGAGAACCACTACAAAAAAATATAGCTTTTGCAGCATACGCAAATTGTTGTAATGGGTGTAAAAAATGTCGCAATATATCAAATGCAACATTTTTGGCATGCTGCATCTGACTGGTGTTACAATAGATGTGTTGCAACATTTTTATCATCTTGTTGTAGCATTTTTTGGTACAATAATGTTACAATAGATACTATATTGTAGCAATTTCTATAATGCTACAAAATAGATGCTGAGATAAACACTTTTTGTGCTAGTGAACCTAATTAACCCCCCTAAAAAAACGGCCCTGTTGATATCATAACTAGCATAACCGTTCGTGTAGATCATTTGGAATTCATTAGGCTTGAAGAGACGCTGGCAACCCGATCCCCTCGACTGGTTTTTTGTAGTTCGTAAGTCTACCGCTCTATATACATTTTAAACCTCTAAGATTTGTTTCCCACACCGGAAATTGAGGAGAAGGTGCCCCTACTATCCATCTATAAAGCCGCTTATCTCCCTTTAAACCATCAAGGCATAAGACAAGCAGTGCATAAGCAAGGTTTGCGATTAAAAGCCTAAGCTTTCGAGTCAATCTCGAGCGGATCGCGATCTTTATGCAAAGCTGTCAAGTCAAACTCGAGTTATAAAATTTAGGCTCGATCAAACTCGAGCCGAGCTTGAGCATTTAGAATAATTTCGAGCTCGAGTTCGAGCATATTTGAGTTTGGGCTCGACTCGGCTCGTTTGCACCCCTAGTTTTAACAGATTATTATTAAAGGAGTCATTTTGAGAACAAATAACAATTGAATTATTTATTTCCATTTTCCCTGATAATAACAACAATTCTTGTTTTCTTGTTTAATTTTGTATGCTCATTTCCATACAACTGACTGAGTTGTGTAATTCTCTCTTAAGAAAATGAATATGTGATACATATACGATAGTATTAGTTTTTAATCCAAGTAACTAAATTAAAATTCAACAAGTGAAATCAAAGTACTTGTTTTCAAAAGGATGGAGACTAATTTACTCAATCTTTTGGAAAACAAACTTATTTACAAAACAATTTTCAAAAGGATGAAGACTAATTTACTCAATCTTTTGGAAAAGAAACTCATTTACAAAACAATCTCATGTTTAGTAAATGTTAATAAGATCATTGTTTCTATACTCTGTATATATCTCTTTTCACCAAGAAATAAAACTTGCTTTTTAGTGATTTACCATGATTATATAAGTTAAAACCATAATTATTTTGCAATTGAGTTTCTCTTCAAAAGTCTTGATTTAATTTCTTTCTTACATTTTTTACACATGATCAATTATGTAAAGTATAAGTTGTTATCCAGATAGCTAACAATTTAACACATGACAATATTTTTCACCTAATTTCAATATAATGTAAACAAAAATTGAGATGACTATATTAATATAGACTAGATAAAATAAATATTAAAATCACAGATTTATTAGTTTGAGGATAATTACATATTATCACAGGTTATACTCCGTATTTTTTAGTTCTAAAAACTAACGCTTACTAATAATTCATGGAGATTTTTTCATCCAAACATTATATGAGTAAAAATAATTAGGACTAAATAAATTACAATAAAATCGAAAATTGGTTAGGTATGTTTTGGCTCCAAGCCTCCAACAATCAGAGCCTGGAACTGAGCTAAAAGCTCCTAGAAACCCAGAGTCTCAGAGAGGCTTTTAGAAGTCTGGGTTGAATTCACACAAATTCGTAGAGGTTGATATCGCTTGTGCTGTAAAATTCACACATGGAGGAACGGTTGCAGAAAGCGTTAAGTGAAAAAGGCTTATTAGTATCAACTCATCCACAAAAGGGTCGCTGCATTTTTACCACTCGAGATTTTTCTCCAGGTCCCTCTGTTCTTTCATATCTCTCACTGAAATCTTTGAAAAAATAAATAAAAAAGCGATTTTTTTTTTGTATTACTCGCACATGTTCTGGTTGAGTTTACCCTTTTTGTCTTATCAGGAGAAGTAATCATCAGCCAAGAGCCTTATGTTTCTGTTCCCACGAAAACTAAGACTGAACCATTGCCAAAGTGCGAATGGTGTTTTGCATCTGCTAATGTCAAGAAGTGTTCTTCTTGTCAGATTGTCTATTATTGTGGCGCCACTTGCCAGGTATACAAGTAATTCTTATCATCATGCAAACAAAGAATTTTGTTGATGCTGCAAATTACTAGGAAGCTTTTTAGAGTGCAAATGGATATTCTAGCACACCCCTTCACGCCTAAAAGTGCCTCAAAGGAGGATGGTGGCTTACTCTGGCATAGCAAGGACTTCAATTCTTATGAATTTGGGGTGGGCTGAGGAAAAAGTTCAACAATACTCCCTCATTTTCATAAAATGTGCAATACTGACACAGTACCAAAAACAAACCTTTTATTGCCCTAAGAAACACTTTCTTAAACTACGTGAATCCTCTATTGAGACGTCCGATACGAAACAGAGGGAGTATGTATTTTTAATAAAAAACAACTCATAAAAAAGTTTGTATCAAACCTGGAATTGGCCCCAGCCTGGGTTGGCCCGCATATCAACTCTGCTTCCATAGTTTGGTAGACTCTGATACCATGTCGAAAAAATAGACTGGCTACCTTTCTCAAAAGTTGAGGGATGGTACAAACCCTATAAGATGGTTCATTCCATCACAAATAGTAATGTGGGAATTCTAAGTTTTTAGCATATATGTACGCAAATAAACTTGCAAGTTTTAACACAGTTGGTTTTCAGAAGTCAGATTGGAAGTTGCATCGACTTGAATGCCAAGCACTATTGAAAGTTGAGAGGGATAAGATAAAATCCCTTGCACCAACTTTAAGATTGATGGTTAAACTTTATCTGAAGAGAAAACTGCAAAGTGGTAATGTAGGTACTCTTGAATGCTTTTTTTTTGCTAGTGCTGTTTTATTCATAAGAATTCATGTATGTATTCATGTTGTCAATGTGTCTTTCTACCCTGTGGTAGTGTTGTTCCTGAGCACACATAGTTCTATGGCAGCTGCGAAATGCAAAGATTCTTTAATATACATAATCTTCATAGCAGATCAAAAGGTGGAA